AGAACAACATTAAGGTGAGTAGTCACTCTAGTTCACACAGTTCCAATAAATTGTGATGGGTTAAATAAACTCAATAAGCAGACAGACGCGACTACAGTCAAGCGCAGAAGTGCACCGGAAATAAGCAGCAGTCATATTTAAAGCAGTTTAAATTAATATTGAGTACTGATTGATGTTCACTTAGATTTTTTTCCCCAGCGAGGGGAAATAACTTAATGCTCTGTCATTAAATAGTCGTATGGTAAAATGTATATTTTTATTCTCAATGTCATGCCTTTGAAAAATAAAGAGAACAACAGAATGCGCTGCTTTAGCGCGTCTCGGTCTCCTTGAGCATCTTTCCGGCGCATGCCACAAACATGAACCACAGGGAATACTCGTCTTTTAAAAGGCTTCATTTAGATTATTTGACGTTAAATGCATCATATAAGTCACTTTGGAATAAATCACAGTAGGCCTATGTATCATGATAAAAAAAGGCCACTTTACAGTCTGTAAAATACGGTAGGCTATAGCAAATTATTTCGCGGACCCCCTATCACTTTAAGAACCGCTGGTCTACACAGAAGAAAGAACTGTCTAGACTCTGCCCCGGTACGGGTTGTGTCGAGCTATTCATTAGTCAGTTTGTTTGATGAAAAAAGATTAAATGTAGCTGCAATTAATGCGTTAAGAATCCATACAACTGCAGCAGCGGAGGACTATTATTCTGCTGCGTGATACTGCAGAAGAACTGATGACGGCACGGTTTGATCTTCGGCTGACCAATCAGCAGAAAGGGGCGTTTAATTCCCGCTCAATTGTAGAAATCGAATATTGAAGCCGTTTATTAATTTTTCTATCCCTGAACGAAAAACGGAAATTTAAGCTGAATTCTCATTTTTCGTTTTTTGGAGCAGTTTTCTAATTTTTCTACTTTTAATGTTAAATCAAAAAACGAATGATACATGGATTTTTTTTTTTTTTTGTAGAAGAGTGAAAGGTGAAAGAGCTCTACTTGCCTGGTCGATGTAAAAGGCAGTTCCAGACCGGATCTCTCGGCGCTGTTTGAGATCAGTCTCAGTAGTATCTCTGGACAGGGCAACATATTCCACTTCTCGCTTTGTTAATTCCTAGCAAACAAGAAAAAAAATGTAAAAAGAGGAAAGACGATAAAGGATATAGTTGCGTGTTTCACGTTGCAGAAATTGAGCAAGTATTGGGGGTGGGGGGGTAATACTTGAAATTACCAGGTACTGCATGGCAATTGAACGGCGCAGAGGACCAGGAGGACCAATGAGAAACACGTCCTGTCCGAGAAGGTCCTTCTGCATTATCCAGCGAAGGTGTTGGGTGACCATTTGTGGCAAAGCCTCCATCACTGTAAAAAAAATTTAAAACTTGCTCTCCATATATACAGTATATGTATATATACATATATATTTAAAAACAAAATTACAATAAAATTAAACTATGAACAATTATTTTATTTAAATGGCAGATTACTAAAAAGTAATTTGCAACTAGTTAGCTTAATACTTATAAATCACCTACATTTTTTATATTTACGATATTTAACTCATGTTAATTGATTGTTTTGTGTATTTATTTTAAAATGTAAAAATGTAATAAAATTGTAATAAAATTTCAAATGTAATTTCAAATTTCATCCTGCATCCGACATTTTTGTTTGATTGTTTTGTTTAGCAATAATAAAACTAATGTCACATCTATGAGGCATTTTTGCAATGACTTGTTTTTGGTGACTTTTAATGGATGTACAGTATGAAGTTGAAGTTCCCACAGGTGTCCTAGCAGAGTAACCACATTATACAAACTGGCACATACTATGATTTACTGGCACAAGTTCTGGATTTCTGGGAGATTTGAGCACATATGAGATCTCGCCTATCTTCACAGTGTCACCTGTGAAGAAAAAAAATGGTTCAATTAAACAGCAAAACAAAGCAAACGTAACATAAACAAACAAACATATATCATATTTGGAGTATCCACTTACAAACAATCCTTGTCAACAGAGCAGGCATTTATTTAAAAACCTCAATATTTATAGAAACGTTAAAGACGCATGTAAACACATCTGAAAACAGAATACTTGGTGGGCTATGTTTGACCTGTGAGTGAATAGTGTAATACTTTGCGTAACGGGTGAACCTCTAAACCTGCTTAATAGCAATCTATAAAGCCAAGAAGATGGTAAACAGTCTTTATCAGTACCTGACGAGGTGTTGAGGAGTTTGACCTCATGTGTGCTGCACTTCCAACGTTCTTTGGACATCACGGGCCCCAGTATATGGCGAATCCTTCTCGCAGCAATAGCTGCAGCTGTGCCTTTGAATAACATACGCGAATGCATCCTGAACCCTTTGTAAAGTGCTGTTAAATTACAAATATACCGGCTACACTATAATACGTCCACTGTTATTTCATCATGCTCGCGACATGAGTGTTTACGCCAGCAGTGGGCAGCTCTAGACGGAAGCATTTCGGTGTCGGACAGAAACCGTCCATTTAACACGGCTTCCGTGTGGAACGGGCTGCTGCTTTATGAGTTCCGATTATTAAACAGTCGAGCGGCTCGTCGGCTCCACGGGAAACACACTTACTAAATCTTTCCCGAAGCGTTGATTTCCAGGAATAACTCAAAGAATAACTTCTGTTGAGGTTAGGGGGATTCCCGTGATGTAGTTTGGTTGTAAGTGAATTGACTGAACTTAACCATAAACAAGCACGCAGACAGTTTGGAATAAAATGAAATGAAATAAAATAAAATAACTGCGTCTTAGGCCGAATAATGAGACATATTGTCTCGTTGTATTAGCTCACTTTAACGATTTTATCCCAGTGTTCATATATGAAGTCAGTGACTCGAAACTCGTTATGAGCTAATGCATGATGTTATAAATAAACACGAATTCATGCAATCTTTGATCACATAATATACAACTATTTGTATGTTGCTTGTAATGTGACGGCGTGCAAATTAACATGTCTTTCTAAAACAATCATAAACGCGTGTTTTTCTAGTGCTGGTTATTGTTATTACTGAGTCTTTAAAATATGGGATAATGTGTGAAAAGCAGGTTCCCTGACATCACAGATAGCGCTTCAAATCCTTGTAGGGACTTGGCATTTATCACGTGCAGAGAAGGAGGCTCAGCCTGTGGGAGAGAGACCCTGGTAGAGTAGGGAGGAGTGGACAATAGACTCAAACCATATGCCCGATTACACGAGATTTGTGCTGAAGCGTGCACAGGGACTAGGAGAATATGGAAGATGATTGCCAATACACTCGCAGCCCTGCCTGGGAAGAGCTGGTCAGTACTGCTGCACGTTTTCTACATCTTCAGAGAGATCCTTTATAACCGCACATGCATGCTGATAGGCACCGATTATGGGATGTTAGCATGCTGTTAGTAAGCACTTGATCTCGGTCGTTTCTCTGATCCGCGAAGAAGAATCCAGTTCTTCCTTCTGTTGAGCTGCTCGATCCTTAGGCGAGTTTGCATTCCTCTACAAACTGATGCACTTTTGGACGAGATTGATTTAGACATTATAGCCTAAGTAGAATCCAACTGACCGATTTTTATTTTTATTTTTTATTTTTGTAGCAATCCAGGCTTTTGGGAGTACAGTGATTTGTTTTAAATAGCTGCACGATTGACCAGTTGAGTTGGAAACATAATTAAGCCACAGTTATTCTTGGTGGCATTCGCTGATAGCTTTTCTTAGCTATTTAAAGTTACAACTGAATGAGAGGAAATGTGCGGACCGCAGACCCATTTTCATATAGAGGGTGAAATGGAAGTAAATTACATTTGGAAATGTGTTTGGTGCCGTTTAGATCCGCATTTCGACCTGGGGTAGTTTTAGATAAAAACAGGAAGGCTCTGTCGCGACATGTTTATAAAATACACCTGTGAATGTGAAGAATATTTGGACAGATGATCTATAAAATCAATAGGAGTTGTGTTTAGGTCAACTGTTTGAATTCACAAACCATCAATTATGCAGATTATTACAAATCTGTTAGCTACTTAATTAGGCTGTTACATGGCTTTTATGTGTGCTATTGTGAATACATGTATAATATACATGACCAGAAAGAGCATTTGAAGTGAAACTACTATTAGCTTGAAACTGAATCTCTGAAGAGGATCGTCTCACGCAAGCAACGTCGTAACCAAAACATATTTTGGCTCCAGTTGAACCTCAACAGTCTGGTTTTATACAAAACTTTCTTGTTGATATACTAGCGACATGTAAATGTGTAATAAAGAGAGAAATACTGACCGTAATTATGTTTTGTGATGTGGGTGTACTGTCGATACACACCCTGTTGCTATGGTTACCGTCTCACGCGAACGGGGTTTCTGTTGTCAGTGTAAAGTTAGGCCTAATCTAACTTTTATTTTGTCGATACTGCCTAGATACTGCCGTGGGGCCAAGAAACCCTGTACCCTAGCGACATACTAATTGTTTATGTGACCCTGGACCATAAAACCAGTCATAAGGGTCAGTTTTTTTAATTGAGATTAAGATGAATAAATAAGCTTTCCATTGATGTACGGTTTGTTAGGACAGGACAATATTTGGCTTAGATACTATTAGAAACTATCTGAAAATCTGGAATCTGTAAAAAAAAAAAATAAATTGAGAAAATCACTTTTAAAGTTGTCCAAATTAAGTTCTTAGCAATGCATATTACTAACCAAAAATTAAGTTTTGATATATTTACAGTAGGAAATTTACAAAATATCTTCATGGAACATGATCTTTACTTATCCTAATGATTTTTGGCATAAAAGAAAAATCGATCATTTTGACCCATACAATGTGTTGACTATTGCTACAAAGATACCCGTTCTACTTATGACTGGTTTTGTGCTCCAGGGACACATATTTTTGTAAAAGGGGTACCCAACCCCCCTCAATCTAGCAGTTTTATTGTCATTGTGGAAGCTCTGTCCCCCTGACAGCACTTTTTTCGGGACGCGCCACAACAATGTCCAACACGCAGTCTATCTGGCAGCTCTCGCTAGGCTCCGAGGCTGAGCCCGGCTGTGGTTTGTAGTCGGCTATAATGTTACAGGAGAAACATCTGTTGCTGTATCCTCGCCATAGTTTGTGAGGCTCCCGTCCGCCGCTAGGGTTTGCTACAGTGATTTCCTCAGCCCTCCTGCCCTCCTGCAGCCAGAGAAGCGCTCAGGAGAACCAGCCAGCAGCCGTGTTCAGACACAACATGCACACTAGCCGGCTAGGAAAGTTTCACAGCAGCTCATTGACAATAGCGCACTGAGCGAATGTCTGGAGACGCGCGGTTGCGCAGGAAAACGCAAAAGCATGACGGCCAAGAGAGCCGCTTTCCAGCCGCTGTCCAGCTCCCGCATCCCGGCGGAGAGGAAGGGAGCGGCTGAGCGCCTTCATAACCCCGAGCGCTGTGCCTCTTCCCCGCAGGAGCCGGAGAAACCAGCGGCGTCCGCCTCAGGGCTTCCCGTCTTGGGGGCTGCCGGGGGCTCCGGGCCGGTGGTGGACGAGTCATCCGACAGCGAGGGAGAGCAGGAAGGGCCGCAGAAACTCATCAGGAAAGTGTCAACCTCCGGGCAAATACGAAGCAAGGTAAGACACGTTGTTTCATATCTGAAGCCTGTGTGCGTGTGTTTTGCTGTTCGTGTCCAGGGCGGTAAGCAGCGGATGGTGCTACTGTAGCAGCCCTGCACACATGGGAGACATCCATGCAGCTTCAAACATCTGGAACGATTGCAGATTGAACAGGAATGTTGCATCGCTTGTGCCATAATTCATCTCTCATAGTGAGCATGCAGTAAACGCAGCTCAGTCAGCAGTGCTCTACTTTACAGAGCCTTCAACCTGTTGATATTCAGTCACGACCACTTGTTGAAAGAGCTCTTTCTCAAGAATATGGACAGGCTTTTCTTTTCTTTTCTTTAAACTTAGTCATTTTGTTTTCATAATGCACCATTAGTCTTTTGGTTTCGTTAGTCACTCATTTTAATGGCATAAAATTATATTAATAATTATTATGAAATATTAAAGAATATAATAGGCCTATAATCAAATGATATTAATATAAGTATATTAAAACATAGTAATTTAAAATTCAAACACTCTTCTCTGGATTTTGCATGAGATTTTCTTGGTTACATTTACACTGCACTCTTAAAAATAACGGTGCTTCACGATGCCGTAGAAGAACCTTTTTTTTTTGTCTAAATGGTTCCATAAAGAACCTTTAACATCTCAAGAACCTTTCTGTTTCACAAAAGGTTCTTTGTGGCGAAAGAAGGTTCTTCAGATTATAAAATGGTAAGAAAGAGATGGTTCTTTAAAGAACCTTTGACTGAAAAAAGGTTCTTCTATGGCATCGCCGTGAAGAACCTTTTAAGCACATTTATTTTTAAGATTGTAAATTTTTACCTTAAATCATACATTGAGACATAAGTTTAGTATATAAAATATTTTATTTTTAAAGTAATTATCGGCATCATCTACTTTTCTTGCTTTTCAAGGTCCTTGTTGAATTCAGTGTAAAATGATTTGCTCACCGTTTCACATATATATGTTTTTTAAACACATTGATCTTAATTTATTTAAAGGTATGATCTTTTGTGTCCGAATGAAGACTGATTATCACATATTTACATACTTGTAAGCCCTCATAAACCCATTAAATGCTAACATGGTCTTTGATGGGTAATTTAATGAATGGTAATTGAAGCCTCTTGATTCTGCTCTCCTGCTTGGCAAGACGACACCTCAGCCGTCTTGCCCCACTTTAGCCGTGACACGATAAAAAGTTCCTCTTTTCTGACCAGAACAAATCCACTTAATTATTGAGTGCTGCTCTCCACCCCCCTACATTATTTAAGAGGCTATATTTAGAGACTGGCTGTTGTGGATGTGAAGGGGCTGATCTTTTGTCATGCTAATGAGCTGTCAGTTTAAACCACACCACAAGTGTAAATAAAGCCTCCTTCAACAAGAATCATTCAGAAACATCACTTCTGCTCTCATCAGTCAATGTACAGTAGAGTTATTGATGAATGCAACTACACATGTCCATTGTCTAGGAATTTTTTTAATAAAAGTAGTATAGGAATTGTGACATGCATTGACTTGTTTGAGATCTTTGCTGAACAAGTTTTTTTTTTTTTTTTTTTTACAGAGATTTCACACACCGTGAACACACACCCGGAGCAGTGGGCAGCCCGGGGAGCAGTTGGGGGTTCGATGCCTTGCTCAAGGGCACCTCAGTCGTGGTACTGAAGGTGGGAGAGAGTGCTGTACATTCACTCCCCCCACCTACAATCCCTGCCGGTACGAGACTCGAACCCACAACCTTTGGGTTACGAGTCCGACTCTCTAACCATTAGGCCACGACTTCCCCACAGGTGTGTTAGGTGTGTTAAAAGCGATCTAAAGGTTTGCAAAAAATGTATTAAATTGATCAAAACAGTAAAGACATTTACATAGTTACAATTTCAATTAAAAATGCAGTTTTATTCATCAAAGAATCCTGAAAAAATATTGTAGATTCTACAAAAAAATATTAAGCAGCACAACTGTTTTTAACTTTGAAAGACTGGAGTAATGGCTGCTGAAAATTCAGCTTCGGAGTCACAGGAATGAATTACTTTTTAAAAATATATTACAATAAAAAAAAAATAGATTTTAATAAAATTTACCATATTGATTTTTTTTATCAAACAAATGTAGCCTTGGTGAGCTTAAGGGACTTCTTTCAACTTACTTTCAAAAAATCTTTAAAAAAAACAAAACAAAAATGACAGTATATATTTTAAAATAGTTATTATTACAAACTTTTGACTGGTAGTGGATAAACTATACATATTATTATGTTATTACATATTATATTATATTTTATTATATAATGTAGCAGTGGTCAAAAGTTTGGTCAAATTATAATTTTCAATGTTTTTGAAAGAAGTCTCCATTTATTTGATTAAAATACAGTAAAAACTGGAATATTGTGAATATATTTGAAAAATTCAAAGTAACTGTTATATATTCAAATATATTCTATATATATGTTTTTTTTTCAGCTTTTATTTTTATTTTTTACATTTGTTTCATCGCCTATTACAAAACACATATCAGTCAAACACTAGAAATAACGTATTTTTAGCACTGAGGAAGTGCATTGGTTTTTCGAGAGTTATTCTCCAGTGCATGTGTGTTTATATTAGACTGCTCATGCCCTGGTAACTGTGGAGAGCAGCTAATGTTCAGGCCATCTGTGTTCTCATACGTCTCGGTGCACTACAGGAGCTGAGGGTGAGAGTGAGCACTAGTTAGCTGGGGATGGTAGGTGCTGTGTTGTCGTGTTGGTCAGTGGGCTGTGATGTGTGCGGATCAGGCGTAATGGAGCGTGTCTCAGTGCTGTCCCAAATCATTGTTTGCTTAACATGGGCTCTTCACAGACTGTCCCGTGCGTCCTGCTTGTACTCTGTCACAGATTGCTCCATATGCTGTGGATCTTCTACCGTTGGACTGACATTTTTCCGGCCCATAGTAAATACCCACTTTATCTTCATTAAGCTAATTGAGGGAGCAGGGAGTGCTATGTGTGGCAGCTTTGTCTTTGAGTAACACGTCAGGGCATGATATCAAGATAAACGTGTGGTTTCTTTCAAAAGTGAAAACAAAAGGAAGAAAAAAGTCTGTGCTGTTTTGTGTCTTGCTCATTTGTGGGCTTAGTTTCCGTAGCAACATCACTCCTCCTATTTCAAGTTTTTTATGGAACAGTCTGCCTATGTGTGAGTTCAGTTTTACAAATTCACAGTATTCCTGATTTTAGAAATTGTACAACTTGAAAAATAATATCAAGATCCTATATAATATAATATAATCCTAAAATTAATTTATATTTAGCAATGATAATTGTTAAATATATATATATATTGGCCATTAAGAAAAAGAGAAAAAAAATCTAGCCTTGCTGGCTGACATTATTTCTATCATTTGTGAATAATATATAATATGGTATATAATATGCATAAAATTATTTTACAATATTGTTGCAAATATACAGTTTTAAGCATGTTATTACATTATTTATGATATAAAAAAAATATTTTGTGTTGATTCTAATTTATAATTAGCAACCATAATTATATATACCAATATTATACATTTCAATTAATTTATAGCATGAAAAATAAATTTTACGAAGTAATATTTATATTGCCCTTTAAAAAAGTATATAATTTATATAGGCTATATAATCTGTTTCACAAAGCATAAAAGGCTATAATGCTAATTTGACACAGGCTGAGATTATTTATATAATTAGTGTGTAATATGAAATGTATTATGTGTAATAGTCATTATTTTTGCAAATATGTGGTTTTAAACTTAGAGCTGTGAACAATACACAGTGCAGAAAACAGGAATGCAGTGAAATGATGTGTTATTATGGTTATAATTATTGTTAGTTATTATTATGTGATATATATATATATATATATATATATATATAAAAGCAGTTTCACAAAGCAATATTTATGTATTATGTATTATGTATTTTATATTATATTAATTTGACAGTATAATATGCAGCTAAATATAAATACATGTAACAGTTTTAAAGATGTTAGAGCTGTGAAGAATACACAATGCAGTTTAGCAAGCAGGAATGCAGTGATATGATGAGCACAGCTGGGTGCTTCTTGTACAGATCTGACTGAAGCTGTTGGCTGATGCCTTGTAATTTAGTGGGAGAGCTCAAGTGTACAAGAGGTAATACTCTCATATCTCCATACACACGCCAACACCAGGAGACCACAGCTGCCTGGCCCGATGCAGCTTCTTATGAGTTATGAAGTTTATAGACAACATGAAACATACATAATAATGTGATACAATGGGATCTCCAAGTAAAACTGAATATGTACCAGGAAATTATGTAGATTTGACTGAATTGGAATTGTTTTATTGATTTGGTGGTTAAATATGGGAGGTTTCAAACTGATGACAGTTCAGAATACAGTCAAAAGATAAATATTGTGAAATATTATTACAATAGATTTAGGGATCTTACTTGTTCCTTTCACAGCATTCCTGTGAAATCATCTGTATTCTCCTGTTTTTCATAATTATTATTAGACTACATCACTGTATCTGTCTTCTTGTCTTATCTGGGCTGATGTAATTGATGATAATTAGATTAATTTTAATAGCGCAGTTCGAAGAATAGAGCAGAAATTGTGTTTAGAGTTCAGGTGATGCGTAGGCAGACAATGACCTTCATATCCATCATAACTTCATCACACAGTGATTTCATCTTGGTCAGTGTGAGTGCCTGATAAATGAACAAATCATTTTTGTAAATTGATGATTTATTATTTAATTGCTGTTTATCATAAAACTCGTAGAATTGAGAGCTCTTGAGTTATCGGTTGAAATTGATTTGGTTAAACAAGTTGGGCTGGTTAATTTCTACATAAATATTACTCATTGTTCACATTGTTTGTTTATAAGACAGAATATCTTTATCAATACACGCAACGGAGTTTTGTTTAAATAAATAATATTTGAATTAAAATGCAGTAAAATATAAATAGCTTCTCAATGTAAGA